GGTGCAAAGGCACATAGACAGGAAAAAACTTAGTGTGGTCAAGAAATGTGTTGCTCAGTGCCCGTCAGAAGCCTCAGGACCCAGCCTTGTGTTGATGTCCCGTCAGGTGTGCCCAGTGCCTGCCCTCGCCACATGCCCTCAGCCATCGTATGTGGAAAATAGGGTCTACATCTTGGTTGTTGCTTCCTGTGCCCTGTTCCCCATGACCACACCTGCCTTCTCTGTTTCCAACCCTTGGTGTTCATTTCTCAGGCACCCCTTTGGTACCCAGCTACCTGCCCTCTCTCCCCTAGGCATCTCTACCCACCAGAGCTCACAATGCCAAGCCATCCCTGTACCCATACCTCATCCCCTGTCCAGCTGCCCTGCTTCCCCAGCACAGGCCTTCCTGTGTATATCCTCCCTCTGGTTTGGGGCTTGCTCTATCGTGCCAATTGCGAATTGGACATTTAATGTGCCAGGCCCAGCTCGCTTTCTCTCCCTTCCTTATCCCCTGCCCCTCCCATGGAGCTCCATAGAAGCTCCATGATGTCATTCTCCATGAGGTCCAAATGCCAGTGACTTCCTTTCCTATCCTTTGTCTACCACCCCAGAGGGTCTCTGAGATGAGCTGTGGGTGTGACTTTTGAAATTCTCTCTTGGGTCAAGCCATTGGTCACTGGAGCCACGTATCACCCAGGGGTCGGCCAGTACAGGCTTTCTCTTGTATGCTTCAGTGCCATTGGGCAGGGTCCAGAAGTGGCGGGGTAAACATGCTGAGTCTACATCTTCTGCTGCAAAGCCCAGATGCTGCCAAGAACCCAAATGCTGTGGCCAAGGTGTACCCTCTCCATAGATGAGTGCCCTTTCATAGAAGGGAGGAGACTGGAGATGTTGACCAGTGCTGCCTGTCTCTGAGAAGGGAGACTTGTGCACCCCTCTGCTGGGCTGGGCATTCGGGAGGAACCCTGTCTTCTGTGGCCTGTTTGCTCCCCAAAGGTAGGTGTACAGGACAGTCAAAATAGCAGCAATGTAATAATTATTAAATTATTGTGAAATAATAATAGGCACACACACACAGACTGAGAGCTTCTAGTATCCTGAGTACTTCAGCAGGGGCTTCCTGAGTCCACAGCCTGGTGTGGTACCCATTGTCATGGATGTTTGTTAGACAAGAGGTTACGTAGCCCAACACCACTCCACAAGCACTCGGTGATGCCAGAGCTGGCCCAGATGTCCTGTCCCCATGTCCAGGGTGTCTATGCTTCCTTGACCACCATCCACGTAGTGCTCACACTGAGGTAGGCTCAATGTTAAACACTTACCCACACTGCATCCCCTCACCCACAGGGCAGAATTGAGGCTTGGGAGGGAAGTAACCTGCCAAAGGTGACACAGCAGCAGGTGGCAGAGGACACATGTTAGTCCAGTTCCCACAGACTCCAAAGCTGTGCTTTCAAGTGCGACATGCTACTCCAACCTGGCCCAGATGCCCCACCTCCCCTGGAAACCCAGGATCTCTTCTGAGCACCATTTAGCACGTGTCTAAGGGAGAATTTGGTGACAAGCTTGAGAATATTTTGCAAGAGGGAAGGAGGTGATTAAACAAGCAATTGTAATGGTGTTAGATCAGGAAACAAAGCAGGACCACACAGCACACCAGGCGAACCTAGCAGAAGTGGACGCAGCAAAGTGATAGTGAGCTGAGGCTTGGAGGATGAGTCAGGCAGGCAGGGTTGGGTATGTCATCGCATGTGCAGAAGTCTGAGGTGAGGGGAAAAAAAACCACATGAGAGAAAGTAAAAAAAATAGTGTGGCTACAGCATAAAGGCTGCAGCATAGAGTGTATTGGGGAGCACAAGGTCAGGGCTGGAGGGGTGGTGGGGGGCAAGCCCAGATCAGGGGCTGTGCCAGGGGCATGGTGCAGGAGAGGGAGTGGTCCAGCTTACACCTTCAGTCACTCCAGCTGCTGAGTGGAGAAGAGCTTGGAGAAGGAATATAGGAAGAGGGAGGTGAGGTGTTTGGAGTCTGTGGCAGAGTCCAAATGAGAGATGATGACGATGGCCTGGACAAGGGAGGTGGCTGCAGGGGTGGGAAGAGGGGAGTGAATTCAGGTGCTAGACAGTCATGCCGCTCCTCGTACTGTGTCTAAAGGCACGACGGGAGGGGCCTCACCACCATTCTGATTAGAATGATGGCAGATGTGCCCACTCTAAGGTGAAATGGTGAACCGACCCTTTAAGAAGCAAGTCTTGTAATAAAAGAGTTTTGTTATGACTCATGCTCTGTGTTGTACTGTTGAAATATGTCAAGCAATAGCCTCTGTTCCAGTCACAAAAAGAATCATTACCCTGACTCTTTGTGTTGTCAATAACTTCTTCATGGGATTCACAGGCTTTCATAGAGAACCTGAGCAAAGTGAATTGGAAATCAGCACAGTCCCCAGAATGTACAGGTCTTGGGAATGGAGGCTCACAGCCTGGGGCCTTCACCGCCACTCTCTTGTGATCCTCAGAACCATTCCTGGATGTGGGAGCTCCTTTCAAAGCTGGCTTATCATGGGGAAGTGTTGGCTCTTCACTGAGCTTCTTTGGGATCAGACAGATCCTTCTGTCTTAAATATTAGCTGTGTGTTCTTGAGCAAGGGACCTTCCTCTTTTATTATTTTTTAATTTTTTTATTTTTTGAGACAGGGTCTCACTCTGTTGCCTAGCCTGGAGTGCAGTGTGACACGATTAGGGCTCACTGCAGCTTCCACCGCCTGGGCTCAAGCGATCCTCCTGCCTCAACCCTCCAAGTTGCTGGGACTACAGGCACGTGCCACCATGCCCGGCTCTTTTTTTGAAATTTTCAGCAGAGATGGGTTCTCACCATGTTACCCAAACTGGTCTCAAACTCCTGAACTGAAGTGATCCACCCACCTCAGCATCCCAAAGTGGTGGGATTACATGCGTGAGCCACCGTGACTGGCAAGGGACATTATTTAGTTTCCACTTTCTCACTTGGAATGGGGCATAATAACTGCCTCATAGGGTGATTCTAAAGATTCTGCTGTTCAGCTTGATAGTAATAGCTAAGAATGATCATGTGCTTATTATGCACCAGGCACTTTTTAAAAGCATGTTGCATGTCATTGCTTTAATTTTCTCAGTGACCTTCTGAGATAGGTACTCGTGATCCCCATGGAGAGGAGGAAACAGAAGCACAATGAGATCAAGTGGCTTGCCCAAGGTCACATAGCAGGCATAGAGCAGAGCCAGGATGTGAACCTGAGTAGTCTCATGGCCAGCCCTGCTTATAAGCCACCCACCATGTTTTGCTGCCTTCCTGAATATACAGTCCAGTGCCTGGCACATAGGAGACGCTCAGTGAGGATGTTAGTTTCCTTTCTGTTGGTCCTAAGTTATACACTCAAGGCAAAACAAGCTAAAGTCAGTGATAAATCAGCAAGCCACCTTCCAACTGCAACAGCCTAGAATCTATAGGGGCCAACTGGTGTGACAGGATGGCTGAAAGGGAAGGCATTCCCTTCTTAACTAACACAGGGAAAATAAGCTGAATCCAAATCTGGCTTTATCCCAGACTTATTGTTGTTGATAGGTACATGTTATATATCTGAACTTCATCTACCAAGTTCATGGTGATGTTGACAGTATCTGGCAAGTAATATGTACCGTCTACCAGGATATCTCAATTACTTTCCCTCAGAAGCCACATTTGTCAGCTCTAACCAGGTATTTCAGATTCACCTGAAATTCAGTAAATGTCAGTCATTTATACATTGATTGATTGACTGATGAAGCATCAATCATTTATTTATTCAGCAAGTACTTACAAAGTACCTCTACGTACTTGGCCTTTTGTTAGGTGAGTGAGTGAGATATAGGTTTTGCCCTCCAGGAATACACCGTCAGTGAGTGAGGCTGACCTACAGGCAGGTTAGTTGTGGTATCAAGGGCTGTGGGGGCCAGAGGAGGAGAAATTGGCTCTACTCTGAAAATCGAGCAAAGACTCCACAATGTTGAGGCCGTATAATTAAGGTCTTCTAAAAAAAAAATTTTTTTTTTAAATGTTTTAGAGACAGGATCTCACTATGTTGCTCAGGCTTGTCTCAAACTCCTGGGCTCAAGCGATTCTCCCACCTTAGCCTCCCAAAGTGCTGAGATTACAGGTGTGAGCCACTGTGCCCCGCCTGATTAAGGTCTTGAGAGGTGAATGTTTTCAGCTGAAGAAGGAGTTGAAGGCAGGGCGCTTTCTAAAATTACCAGCAGAATAGACCAAAGCCTAGAAGCACAAAAGAGTGCGTGTTCAGGAACGTTGAAAGGTGAGGGTGGCTGGAAAGATTGTAGCGAGAGCTTTGAGATGCTGCCCATTAACACTTAGAATGCAAGGTTTATCTTTCAAAATCTAATTGCATTCGGATCAAGCTCCTATTCTCCAAGGTTGGTAAGAAGTTTAATATCATTTGCTTCTTTGCAGCGCTCTCCCTCAGATTCAGTCAGAACCCAGAGCCTGGGAAAGATGCAGTAGAAAAAGGGTTTCTGGTGACACCCTTCTCTGTGTTGATCACTAATTCTTGTCCAGGCCCATGTGGTCCATTTGAAGAGGATGTCTGTGCTGGGAGTCTTGCTGGTTCCTCTATGTCAAGCACTGCTGCAAACTATCATCAAGGGTTTTGTTAACTTCTCCCCCAAGTGCAAGGCGAATCCAGATCTTTGGAACAAAATGTCTGGTCTCTTTTTTTGGTGGGGTAGGGCTCACAGGTGGAGGGAAAAAGTGCATTCATTTTTTTTTGTTGTTGGCAAATCCATAGCAATAAGAACCAAGATATGACTTAATGACTCCATAGCCATCCTGCTGCTATAGGAGTAGAAGTCAGGTATGGCCCACTCCCTTGCAATCTGGGAAGTCAAGGTGAAGGGGCTGAATTTCTTCCTGCTCATGTCAAGTGGCTGCCTGAGTTCTGGTGTAGAAAGGCAGAGCCAGGCAGGCTCTGACGAGTGGCTCCATGTCTTCTGCAGGTGTGGCAGTGTGGCGGGAGCGTGGAGGTCCTGCCCTGCTCACGGATTGCCCACATTGAGCGGGCCCACAAACCCTACACAGAGGACCTCACCGCCCACGTCCGCAGGAACGCTCTCAGGGTGGCTGAAGTCTGGATGGATGAATTTAAAAGCCACGTCTACATGGCATGGAACATACCCCAGGAGGTAGGGATCTCCGGTGGGGACGAGTTTCTCGGGGATTGGTGGAAAACAAAACAAATCAAAATATGGGGCCAAACCCTTCTTCCTATGGGTCAGCCAGAGTCCTGTTTGCCATGTGAGAATGGACTCTCAACCCAAAAACGTATTATTTGCCGAAGAAAAGGGGCCATGAGCCTCTAAACCATTTCTTAACCCCCTACCCCCATCCCTGGTGAGCATGCTTGATGAGGACTTCTCTCTGGATCTTAGTGTCCTAATTTTAAATGAGAAAGTTGGACAGGTAGCTCAAGTTCCTTCATGCTCCCAGGTCCTTGGCTTCTCTGACACTAGATGTTTCATGGTCCTGGATTACAAATATACCAGTAACTACAAACATTTACAAAAAACATCTAATCTTCCTATAGAGGAGATTCAAACTTCTCCATTGAACCTTCGACCAGAGTTATAAAGATCCATATGCCTTTCGGATTTCTTGAGCCACATGGATGGGGATGGGGGCACACCTACAGGGACCCTCACTAGGAGATGGGAGTTATTCTGGGCAGTTTTTAGACAGCGTTTAACCTTCACAGAGCCTTGTCATTGCCTGCCACTGTCCTCTATCCCTCTAGTCACCTGTACTTAAGAAATGCCAGAGAAAAAGCAATGTTTCTCTGGTAGTTTTGTTTAGCCTTGCCATGTGTCAAGGTGAAACATGTGGAAATGACCTTGGACTACTGAGTTGAGAGAACCCAACAGATGCCAGCCACACGATTCCAATCCACTTCCCAGCCTGTCGGCCTGGAGTTCATTGCTTGTGTTGCATTCTGTGTGAGACAGAGCTATCAGAGCTATCGACTACATGACCTCATTCTTTCCTCCCAAGGCCATGGCAATCCCCTTTGGAGTCCTTTAGGGAGCCTCTAGTGGGGAAATGATTGATCTTCACTCAAAGTGTCCATATGAAAGCCCTGTTACCTAAACTCTACACCAAGCTAATGTTGCCCTGGTTAAATGATTGAGAAAGTTGACTGGTTCGTGAGTGGGAGCTTTTAGCCCACCTCGAGCCGCACCACCACCGCAGGAGATCCCCTCTTGAGTTGGGTTGCATACTCCCACAATCAATGAGGTTTCAGCAGTTGAGAGCAAGAATGAGGAGTGGAGAAATATCAGTCAGAGTGCAGCCAACCCTAATGTACCAGCCCGGGATTGCTTTCCTGACAGTAAGAGTGTTTCCGGGGAATTGCAGTACCTTCTGGACTCATCGTCAGGATTGAATCACAGTATTCTGCATGGGGTGTCAAGCCCTGTGGTAGGTGGTCTGTGATGGCAAAATACTAACAACACTTGGAAACTCCCCAGGAGCTCACCAGTGAGACACTGCAGGTCCCCAGGCTCTGCTTAGACTGGTGAGTTAGCATACTCTTACTGCCTTCTTTCTGTACCCCAGAGCTGCAAACCTTCTAGACCTCTCCCCCTTGCAGCTGACAGGTGTTGAAATGCCCAGCAACCCAGTGAATGGTACAGAACTGAGTGAATGAAAATAACTGAAAAGTGATGAAATTCAGGGTCTGTCTGTGACTCCTCAAGGTGGGTAGTTCAAATCAAATGGGTAGAGGGAAGTGAACACAAGACACGTGAGAGGTGGAATTGCCCAGGATAAAGCCTTAGGTGGAGAAGGAAAGGATCAGTGTGTTTCCTAAAATAATTCTCTTTCCTTTCCTGTTCCCTATGTCCAAATGTCCTCTCCTTCCTCTTATCAAGCTTGTACAGGGTCAATATTTCTTCATCTCCCAATCCTTCTCCTAAGCTATATCCTGATACTTCATCAAGACTGCTTTGTCAAGGTGAACATGGATCTCCCAACTGCCTAATTTAAGGGACATTTTAAGGTCTTTAACCTATAGGATTTCACCTTTTCCTTGAATCTCTGTAGTTCCTTGGGTCCATGATTCCACACCCTGGAATCTCATCTCTCTCCAGTTATTCCTAACTCTTCAAGGACTCCTCTTACGTTCACTGGGTGCTTATATGCTCCTGGGGTATCCATCCTTGGCAGACTGCTCTCATTATTTCCCATCTCCGTGGGTAATCTCATCTACTCTTGCATTGGACTCCCACCCATATGCTGCCTCCCTAATTAATAATCTCTACCCCTGACTTCTGCCTTCACTTTCAGACTCACATCTCCAACTGCCAGCTGGACATCTCCTCTTGGCCGTTCCCATAGGCACTCAGACTGAATCTGACCAGCCAAACCCACCTTCTTCCTCCAGATCTGCTCCTGTTCTCATTCTGTCACAGTTCATGGTGCCACCATCTTCCAGACACATGAGTTTGAAACTGACATCATCCTTCAATCTTCCTCTCTCTCAATGCTCTGTCCCAGTCAATCACAAGCCCTCCTTCCCACCCCAACCTCCTCTCATGTCTGCATTCAGGCCCTATTTTTTTCTCTGCTACAAGCTTCAGCTGGTTTTCCTGGCTTAAGTCTTTATCTCCTTCAAATCTATCCTCTACAATACCCAAAGTTATCTATAAAACACTCACAATGACCATGCCATTGCCCTGCTTAAAATCTTTAAATGAGGCTGGGCGCAGTGGCTCACACCTGTAATGCTAGCACTTTGGCAGGTAGATCACTTGGGGTTAGGAGTTCAAGAACAGCCTGGCCAACATGGTGAAACCCCATCTCTACTAAAAATACAAAAATTAGCCAGGCTTGGTGGCACGTGCCTGTAATCCCAGCTACTCAGGAGACTGAGGCAGGAGAATCGTTTTAACCTGGGAGGCAGAGGTTCCAGTGAGCCGTGGTTGTGCCACTGCACTCCAGCCTGGGTGACAGAGCAAGACTCTGTCTCAAAAAAAAAAAAAAAAATCTTTAAATGACTCCTTCTATGTACAAAATCAAACACAAAGCCCAGTGTTTGGCATGGCATCAAAGGTTCCCATGCTTTCTCCTCTGCCTGTATGTTAACCCCGCTGCCCACCACTCCCTGTTTTGAAGTCTGCATACACTGTGTTGACTATGGGAACTGCCCATTACACACCGTCCATGCCATGCTGTTTCTCACAACTCAGTGCTTGCTCATCCTGCTTGGAATTCCCTACCCTCTACCTCTTCCTGTATGACCACCCGTACTAAATCTTCCCCATCCTTTGAGACTAGCTCCAGGGATCCCCCCTCTAGAAAGCCAGCTCCAACTGGGGAAAGAGCTTCCCCTCCTATATATATCTCTGTCATTGCATGACCAGCCTGTGAAAGAGTGTTCTGTTATCTAAAAGTCTCCCTCTCATTAGAACAGTGGTTTTCAAATCTGGCTGAACTTCAAAATCACTTGGGTTCCACCCCCACAGATTACCACTTAATTGGTTTGGAAGGGGCCCCTGGAATCTGTTTTTTGAGAAAGTTCTTTAGAACCACTGAGAACCACCACAGTACACCATGGGCTCTCTGAGGACAGACTGCTTTACATTTTTGTGTTATTATATCTAGCACAAGGCAGGGCGCATGGTAAGAGCTTGGTGACGCCTTGCTAACGCTTATTAATGAGTGAGTCTGCTGGTGGTGTGTGTAATCCCTTTCTTTCTTGGTTAGTGACTCCTAAAAGCAGATCTTCAGACCAACTGCATCAGAATCGCTTGGAGAGCTTTTTAAAAAATACTCATCTGGGTCTCATTCTCAGAGAGGATTTTGAGCGGTAGGTGCCAGAATCTCTAAAAAGCCCTCCAGATGAGAGGTTAGGGTGGCCAGGTTTGGGTAACACCTATTTAGCTCGTCCTTCGCATTTTTCCAAACTCACCTCAAGTGTTGCTTACTCCAGGAAGCCTTCTTTGACTGCTTACCTCCTTTGCCCCCAATCCTGGCCTCCACACAATGTAAGAAGAATGAGGCCCCTCTTCTATTCTCTCTTTCACTTTCTCTTCCTTTCCATGCCTCACACTTCTTCACAAAGAGTGTGTTTACTTGTCTGAAACTCCCAGACTCTCCTTTCAGGCCGAGAGTGTGACGTATTCCTATTTGTATACAGAGTGTTTAGGATAGTGTCTGACACATAATCAACAGGTGCTTGGTAAAGGTCAGTTGGAAAAGAAGAAGGAGGATGCATGGATGCTATATGCTTCACACAGTTTCCTTAGGAGGTTTACCAGCTGCCCCTGAGATAGCTATGCCCCAATCCCTTTTCCTCAGCTGCAAGCACATCTGTTCCCAATTTACTTAACCTTTCGTCTACAGCATCCTAGCTGCAAATATGGAGCTGGAGCCCATCAACCCTGCCCAGGTGGCTGCCTTGAGAATTAAATAAGTTAATACATGTAAAGACTTTGATCAGTGCTTGGCACACAGAAAGCGCTAGTTAAGTGTTAACTCTTGTTGGTGCTGTGATTGTTTATGCCCTATACTTTCCTTCCACAGTTTTAAAATGCTTATGCTGGGCAGATATCCTCTGCTTGTTGCCTTCTAAGCTGAGGCCTCCTCAGAGCTGTGCGCTGAGCAGAACTGGCCCTCTCACCTGCTCCCTTAGCACGTCCAGTCCCCAGCTTTTGAAAGGCCGAAGAGCCTTCACCTCCTGCAACCTGCTACTTTAACTGAAAATCAGTTTATTTATCAATAAACAGAAAGTCTGCAGCAAAACATCAATATTTTCTTAAGCAAGGTTCAGGAACTCTAGACTGCTTCTCTTGCCCAAAGACAGGCTGAGTGCCAGGGATGGCTTGTCATGTGCTTCAGTGATAGCCCTCCTTTAAGTCTGGCTATAAGGAATTTTGTGACTATGTGGCTGCAATACTGGACACTTTTATGTGGCTAAGTTAATATATTTGTTTCCTAGGGCTATGGCAACAAATTACCATGAACTTGATGGCTTCAAACAACATAAATTTATTCTCTAACATCCAGGTGCCAGCAGAGCTGTGCTCCCTCCAGCGTCTCGAGTGGGGAGCATCCTTCCTTGCCTTGGCCAGCTTCTGGTGGCCCTGAGGGGTCCCTGGTTGTGGATGTATCACCTTAGTCTCAGCCTCTGTCTTCACATGGCCTTCTCCTCTTTGTCTCTATGTGTGTCCAGACCACTCTTTTTTCCTCTTATAAAAACATCAGTCATTTCAGTCATATATAGTCACATACAGTCATAATTTAGGCAAGCCCTAAATGCAGGATGATTTCATTTTGAGATCCTGAATTAATTATATCTGCAAAGATCCTCTTTCCAAATAAAGTCCCATTCAGAGGTTCCGGGTAGACATGAATTTTAGAGAAGGCCACAGTTCAACTCACTACACCAAGTATTTGGCAAAAGAGGAAGATGCATTTATTGTTTTCTAATAAGGGCCAAGGTGACCTTCTCAGAGGTTTACTTTCTTCTCAGTGTATGCCTCCTGCTTTGAAGATGGGTTTGATGAAATTTACAGTAAACACACAGTGCAGATATGCTGAACTATTAAAACGGAAAGGCAAAAGTCAATTAATACACAGGAACGGGAAGGGGACTTGATACTCAGAAAGATAAGCTGAACAAAGGGCTAGTGCTTGAGCTTCGTCGCAGGAGATGGCCACCTGGTGGATTGTATCTCTCTCATCTTTTACTCGATCATGTGGAGGGAGGCAAACTTTGCCCTGTTCCTAAGTGCAGAAAGATACTTTTCCTATGGGAACCCAGAAGTTTAGGAAAACACAGAGGCCTTTGTGAGACAGGTTCTTCTAGTGGCTCCCTATAAAACAGACACAGTGTTAAATTTAGTCACATAAAGGCAATTATAACATGAAGGGAGAAGGAATGGATGAGTCCTGGGACAGTTTTCTGATGTAAGGATAAAGTACCGTGGAGAGTAAATGGTTAATACTTAATGAATGCTTTGGAGTCGGAGTGGAAAGTAGATTACATCTATTGCCAGTTCCTGTGTTCACCACTTCATAAATATTTTCTCCACACAGCAATGTAGCTCATGCTCAGTGCTAGGACTGGGGGCACAGAGGTAACTCTGATGGAAGTTTCCTGACCTTAAGGAGCCAGAGTCTAGCAGAGAAAGGCTCGGATAACAGCTGCAGAGAAGGCTCTGGGCAGGAGTGTGCAGCACACAAGTCACAGATGAGGTCATTAAGAAGTCCTAGGAAGTCAAAATAGCTCCTGTCATTCTAGAACTTTAACCTTCAGGCTGTAGCAGGTTCAAATTTTTATATTGCCTGAACTCTTGTGAGCAAAAAGGAATCTATCTCTTTTATATCTAAATTGTGTTTTCACTCAAGCCTACATTGTCTGATGTCAAAAATTTGCCTTGTTCATGTCCAGATAAATGCAGCCATTTTTGTGATCTTTCTCAGATATTTTAGACAAAATCTGCCTGACCTCAGTAACTTGATCCCTGGAGTTGATGTTTGAACCAGGGATTTACACAGAGAGCGTATGGACCACAGTGTCGGTGAGAGAGAGCTCACTTCTTCATCTGCCCTCCACTCTGGGTTGGCATCTTATGGGATACCACATGCCCATCTGCATACTGGCCTTCATCCCTGCCACGGTGTCATCCTCTGAGACGCACTGGGTCTTCATCAGATCCCTAGAGGATGGACCCTTCTGCAGCCTCTGCTTTTGCATCAGCTTTTTCTCAGCCAATTCTGTGCACCATTCAACAGCTGGTATGCAGGTCCAGGAATTCTTAGTGCCGCCCAAGTCTGCTCTACAAGCAGTGTGGGGAGGGGCACTTCTCTAGCCTTCTCACTCCTGGACACATTCACGTCTCACTTCTGCTCCCTGGCTGCTGCACCACGCTGGCTCAGGGGCCACCTCGCTGATGCTCCTGAGAAAGGAGGGAAACAAGTACTCTAGACGCCAAGACTCCCAGGCTGAAGGAGTCTGCTTCTCCTGCAAGGACTTCGTCTGAGGAGGCAGAAGAATTCCATCTTCCAAACACACAGAGTAACATTAAAAGCAGAAACTCTAGACCCAGGTTAATTGGGTTCAAATCTCAGCTCCACCATTTATTAGTTGTGGGGCCTTGGGCAAGTTACCCAGGAGGTTACTGAACCTCTCTTTGTCTCAACTCATCATCCATAAAGGAGGATTATGTGGTGCTATTTTATAGGTGTGAATGGGACAACATACATACATATAAATAAAAGTAAATAAATATAAATATATACTGCATATCTCATTCAGAATACAGCCTAGCACTCTGGAAATGTTTAAGCCTTAGCTGTTATGATTCTTAGGAACAGTATTAGAATTAGCATCATTTCATCTCAAAGCTTTTTCCTTCCCCTCTCTCTCTCACCTTAAAGCTCAGAATCTCTCACTTTGCCTCTTGAGGTAGGGAAAAGCTTTATTCAGATGGATTCTTCCCATTTCTTTCATCTACATCCAGACTATAGCTTTTTTTTTTTTCTTTAAGGATTTGGCATCTTTATTTTCAATGGCCTTTGATGACAGTGCCCGGCAATGCCGACCTCATGTTTCATAGTCTAAATGAGGATGGTTATGGGGTTAAGGTGCCCGTGGGAAAATGCAAGAGTTAACGTGCCACATGGTCCCTTCACTAGTCTCTAGGAATCTTGGTTGGCGGCACAAGGTCATGCCAAAGTAGAGTTTGGGGAGAAGCTGCAACCTGGGAGTGGCTTCATCTCTGCTTCCGCATCCCTGTGCAGGACTCAGGAATTGACATCGGGGACATCACCGCAAGGAAGGCTCTGAGGAAACAGCTGCAGTGCAAGACCTTCCGGTGGTACCTGGTCAGCGTGTACCCAGAGATGAGGATGTACTCAGACATCATTGCCTACGGAGTGGTAAGGAGCTGGCCTCCTTCGGGTTTCATTCAGACACAGACAGAAAGAAGCATAGTGAAGAAAGGGAGAGGAGGGAAAGAGCCTCTCAGCTGCTCCCGTGAAGAACTGCAGTAGGCTTGGGGAGCGGGCGCGGGTTCTGCACCTGCAAGCCTTGACTTTTACAGCCCAAACCCCTCCGGTCCCTTGAGAGAGGTACTTGTCTCTCCTTTATAGTCCTAAGCAATTCAGCTCTGGCCCCACACCTGCATATTCCACTTAATAAAACACACAGTAAAGCAGTTAGCTTAAGATTGAAAGGTAAGGTAACAAACACCTGCTGTTTTCCCAGCTGGGGTGCCTGAGGGTCTATGAGTCACCCTGTGTGCCTCCCCTACCAAGGGGTTGATGCCTTCCATTCACATGCAGAGCCTCCCTGAGAAGAGTTCTAGAAACAGAGCCATCTTGAGTTGATTATATTTGCTGTCTTTTTAGTACTGCTTGTTGATGGGCACAGAGCAGTTCTCCCTGATGAGAGGGAGCAAGGTGGAGGGGGCAGAGCATAGGGTTTGGAGTCAGACAGACCTGGTTCAAATCTTAACCAGGCTGCTTCCCAGGTAAGTGTCTTAATGTCATGGGCCTCAGTTTCTTCATCTGTTAAACGGGGGTAATTCAGTACTATCCCCGTAGAGTAAAAGAAAATCTAATATTTGTAGATATGTGACTTTAGACAAAAATGTATTTTCTGTCTAAAGTTAAAATACTTCGAATATGATAAACTCTCCCATTTTCTCAATATTCCCTGGGCCATACAGGTCAAATGCCATAAGGTATTTTAAATGGTATTTTGATTGATTTTTGGCTATCTCGCCTGGCTTTTGCTGACTTACAGTCTGAACACGGAAACTTTTGCCATGACAAGCCCCCAAGACTACTCGGTGGGATTAATTATATTATCTCCATGTCATAGATGGGGAAACAGAGTCAAAGAGTGATTTTCACAAGCTCACATAATCAGCAGTGAAACCAAGTCTAAAAAACAAGCTTCTGGTATCACTCTGATTCTTTCCTTTGGAGAGTGTCCCCTCAGACCTTTTTGGATATCTCAAGATGAAAACTTGAAGGAAGAACTGAGGTCTCTTCTTTTGATGAGCTGTGGTTAGAGCTGAGTTCAAAGCCTGCCCCAGATGAACAGGACAATTGCCTGTGAGCGGGAAGAATCTGCTGAGAGATTGGTCTCAGTGCTCCCTATGCACCCCCAAACTCTTACATACATCCTAGGATTCCAAAGCAGACAGAACTGGAATCCTAGACCCACCCCCTCTACCCCCAGGGTCTCTGTTATCCCGAATACCAGCTTGTAGGAGACAGTCTTATCCTCCCATGAGTGTCCCCATGGCATGGTTGACATATCCCAAGAGAACCATGCAGTGACCTCTCATCTCTCCACGTCTCAGTCTGGTGCAATTCACATCTCAGCAAACACCTCAGCTAGTGCTGCTTAGGTAGTACCTGAGTCTCCAGATCCTGTTGTCACCATGGAAACACATTGCACTGTAAGGTGCCTCTCTGTCCCATTCACCTCCCCAGAACCATCCTGAGGACACAGCTGCCTTTGATGCCCCACACTCTACCCATAGCAAGCTATGTGGGCTGCTTGGCCATGGTGGAACCCAATCCTAAAAGGAGAGTTATGCTGCTGTGGCTCCAGAGAAACTATTGGCCCCAAGCCTGCGTGAGCCAGGGCAAGCTTCTGGATTCATGTTCTCAGCAGGCTGTCAGCTGTGGCTAAGCAGGATTAGCCAAACTCCCCCAGAGAGGCAGGGGACGCAGTAACAGTAGAGGTGTGTACATGTGCCCACTGCAATTTTGGGTCCTGGCCAAAGGCATTCTCATCCTCCAAGCAAAAACATCTCATCTTATACACATGTGCAACAGGTTTACCATGTAGCCCCCCATGCCACCCCCAGAAACATTTGGTTTGTCAAATAGTAAGTGGAAAATACGGGGTTGTGATCTAGATCTGTCTGGGTTCAGAGCCGGGCCTATTTTTACTGTCACACTGAAAACCATTCGCTTGTCATCCCAAAGGGCTGAGCTGTGTTAGCCATCCCTGTGGCTGGCAGAGGACTCTGACCCCCTGCACATTCATCAGCCCGCCACTGCTCAGGGCCCAGCCAGCCTCCCCTTCCTCCTGCCTCCTCCACGGGCCGAGCCCCTACATGAGCAGAGACATGCCTGCTTGTCAAAGAGCATAATAAACTCTTAATGGGGGCAACCTGGCTGAAGATGGGCAAAGTGGGATGCAGCCACAATAGCAAGAGTATTTGCTGGGTCTGACTCATTCTTCCTGGTAATTATTTTTATCCTAAAATGAAAAGACCAGATGCCTTTTCAGGGGCATAATTTATTTTTCCTTTTTCTATTCCAACTCATGACCAAATGACATTGTTCAGGACAAATGACTTCTGGGACTCTGAGTTGAGCCAGTATCAAGTCTATAGCCCAGCCCATTAATCCACTAATGGGCCCCGTTAATGACTCCTGCAGGCCTAAGGACCTGTGGGCCCCATCGTGTGGGCATAAGTTTCCCCTGGATCATTGAGCTCCATGTCCAAGAGATGGGAGAGCATTGGATTAATCACAGCTCTGGTGCTGAGAGTAGAGATGGAGGGGCATCTGGAAACAGACATGCCTGGCTTCTGAATGTTAGCTTTGCCCCTTAATGGCTATGTAAACTTGACAAGCTGCAAAACCTTAGTGGTCACAGTAATGCCATTTCATAGGGCATATTTTACAGTCTCAGGATTATAGCCATTTGCATTATGGAAAGAGCTTGGGTTTTGGAGTCTGACAGACCAGCTCTATCACTTGCCCGACTATGATTCCATTCATTTGGGAATGCCATTCATTTACTCATGTTTTTCATGTACCCACTCACTCACCCACTCAACAAGTATTGACCGTCTCCTTTGTGCCTGGCCTATATGATATCCAATGAGACTGAGACCCAGTCTGATGACTAACAGGGGAGACAAACAAGTGAAGAAGGAATAAGAATGCAACTGGTTAAGTGCTACCCTAAGAGAAATGGGGTGCTAGTGAAGCACAGGGCAGTGATCTCATACAAGACTTGGGTGGGGAAAGGCTTCCAGAGTGGCAGATAAGCTGAGAGCCAAGGGAAGAGGCAAAGAGGAGGCCAAGACCAAGGGCGATGTGGGGAAGTGTCCACACAGGCTGAATAGCGCTACAGACAGGGAGGAGAGTGGAGCTTGTTCCTACACCACAGTTCCTTCATCCTGGCTAGTCATTATGACAATTAGGTGAGACATATGTGGAAAGCACTTCACATGGTACCTGACACATAGACGCATTCCTAAAAGCTGGTTTCCCTGAATGGCTTTGAGGAAGGTTACAGCAGTAATAATAGCAGCCAACAATTATTGCAACATTTGTTATTTCCCAGGCCCTGTGCTAAGCACTTGCAGATATTGTTTCACTTAATCCTCATAACAGCCTTATGAGGTAGGCACTATTATTATTCCTCTTTTAGAGGGGAGAAAACAAACAGGAAGGAGTTACATTGCTTTATTCAAGACCCCACAACTGGAGCCAGGTTTTCCATCCCAGCCTGTTGCTTCTAGCTGCTTCAGTGGACTACCTGCCTAAGGGGTGGTGGGGGTGGGGGGTGGGCAGGAACGACACAGAGCCAGGGAGGACTTTATCAAAAGACACCCACCCTCTCACCCAAGCACTGGCATTAAGAACCCAGGGGAAAGCCAAGTCTAACATCAGGGCTTTCCAGGCCTTCCTCTTTGCAACAGCAGTTAGCAGATTTTCCTAATGGGTTACAGTGCTTGGCTTTAGATATGACACCCACCTCTTCATGGGCTGTAGGACGAGAACAAAGTGTGTTTACATATGCTCTTCCCACTAAGGCAAACCAAGGAATTGGTTTATAATGGAGGATTTGCTGCAGAAATGCTACCGGGGGCTCTGCCTGAGACACACGTTCATATAGTATTTCTTCAGAATCTCTGAACTGTGAGTTTGGGATTAAAGGTGCTACCACCCAGTAGAGGAAAGGAAGCTCAAAAGAAAAGAATTCAACTCTGTTCCTTGTCCCCTGTTAGGAACAGGGTATGCTTGGAGCACACATGGGCCTCTGGTTGTCGGCTCCATCTCATGCCTCTTCGTTGGCTTCATTTCACTCCTGCCACAAGCCATCAGGAGTACAAAGGCCCTGCTGCTGTCTCTGGCCTCCCCCTAGATAGATGGCCTCCCTGTGGCCTCTTGTGCTTGTCTTCCCTGGATTCTGTTCTCCAGTCCCCTGTTCTGGGCAGAGTGTTTTGATGGCTAAGGAGAGAACCCCAGTCAAGCCAGCTCAAGTTAAGGTGAGGTGGGTGAAGGTACCATAGACTCTTACAGGAGTAGGAACTGAAGTACAGTTGGACATGGACACTACAGCTGGGAAGCCACTGAAGCTGCCGCAGTGGCAAGATGGTCTCTCTTGTCTCTCCTTCTGTCTGCCTCGTGCATCATCACATCCTTGTTCACAACTGGCTTTCTCTGCTTGAACATGGCCATGGCCAACAGAACCCCCCCATGCCCAGTTTAAACAGCCTTGCAATTCTAGTGGCCACCACCCACCAATTACAGTCTCTGGGTCCTGTTTAGGTTCCTAAGACAGATAAGGGAGTGATGAGATGGGGAGAAGAGAGGAAGAGAAAGAGAGTGATTAATTCTGAAGTGTGGATCGGTGCCCACCATGGTCCACTCAATTGTGGCCGGTGAGCAGGGCCATGAGGACAATGGGCTACCCTTTCTGAGGGCTGAGAGTGGGTGTAAGCAAGAAAGTGACATTGAATGTCAGCTTTCTTACCCAGACATGTGTTAATTGCCAAGACTGGATCCATCCACCCGTAGGTGAGGGTAAGAGATGCCGTTCTCTTCTCCTGCTCCCACCCTGGCCCCCTCCTCTCTTATTCTACCACCTGACCTCCCACTATGGAAGACCCTAAGCAGGTGGGCCACCATGGGGCCTGGCCAAGCCACTGCTGGGTCTGCAGGAGGCAGAGAGCGTCTGGTCCCAGGGGACCTCTGAGGCCTGAAAATAGCTAACATGTTGCCCATTTTCCCCAACATTCAAGAGCAAAGATTTCCCTCAGGGACACTTGAAGGCTGTTGTTCCACCCCTGAGGAAGTGGAGGGGCTGAAGAGCAAGCACCATCTTGTGTGTGATATGCATGAGCTGAAGAGCAAGCACTGTCTTGTGTGTGCACATACATGTGTATCTCTTATATTTGCCCAGACTGTCTCAACTCCCAGAACCCAGCTCACTGTTTAATGACATGTAAGTGTTTCTCCTTCAAAGGAGGCTGGTCTCCCCTCAGCACCTTTATGCAAGGCAAAAGCTGGTGCTTGTTGGTTCTATAGTGTTCAAGGGCCTTGGGCTGATTATGGAAATGAAATCTGTCCAGCAGAATACTTGTTTCTCCAGAGTTAATGCATTTGCTTTCTCTGTTCCTCTCTCTGTGGTGCGGCCATCTGGTCTCTGATGTTCAGCTGCAGAATTCTCTGAAGACTGATTTGTGTCTTGACCAGGGGCCAGATACAGAGAATGTCCCCATCATGTACATATGCCATGGGATGACGCCTCAGGTGAGTCCTCTAAGAGATTCCTCTGCCAGGATTGTGCATGTGAGTGCCTGGCATGGGGAAGGAGAGCTAGGCTCTGTCATGGCAGCTCTGGGACCAGGGGCCTCTGGGGCTTTTCATTAGGGCACATCTTCGTGAGCTGAAGAGGATGGGTCACATCTGCCTTGCCTGGAAGGAAGGTGGGGGAGTGGATGCTATGACTCCAGGATCCTCCAGGATGGGGAGGATGAAAGGGGTTACATTTCTAAAGAGAAACACCTGCTTCCTTTGGGGAAACTATGGGTACATCACAGTTCTAACTCTGACAACCGAGCTGCTCCCTAGCAAGAGTGGGAGGTTCTCCCAAGCTCCCTGAAATGTCAGAGTCCCTTCAGAATGCCATGGCATGGTCTTCAGCTCTGCCCTTTAGTAGATCGTAGCTGGGGCCAAAATTTACAGCCATGGGCCTTCTTTCCAGCTCTTCTTCTGACTTTCTCCTGGTGGAGAATGAAGGGCAGCTACCGGGAAAATAATTTATTCTTACAAATTCTCCATTCGTAGTCTAAGCTTCAGATACTCAAAGAGGATGCCAAGACACAGGCAAGAGAAATGGTTCGTTGAACAAAGTACAGCAGACAACCCTTGACCAAGAATGTCATAGGCTGACCTGTTCTGAATTGATAACATTCCCAGAGTGTACTTATCTCCAGAAGTACACAATGATTTAAAAAGATATTTGAGCATATAAGATATGCCTATGTGGGCAATTACAATTAAAAGAGTATTTAAAAGAGCTATTGCCTACCAAAACACACAACTGAAGGGCATCATGACATGTATGTCACTATGTGTGTGAATGATGAGCCCTCCCAGGGATTGTCCATTGTCACCACTACCATCTTGTCCTTTTGGGGGACTGAGTTGCTGTGACATTACTGGCTGGTTAATTGCAGGCCAGCAGATCAGGCTACACCCACAGGACCCAGTATGACAACACATTCTTCATTGTTACAATGGTGTGACATTTTTAATGAGTGACTATCTTTTTAAACATTATATTGAAGTAAAACATATATAGAGGGAATACATGAATTATACGTGTACAGCTTAATCAATTTCCAGACTGAACACACCCAGATCAAAAATAAGAGTATTGCTGCCTGATTTTGAATTCTACATAAGTAGGATTATATAGTATATATTTTCTTATGTTGACTTCTTTCATAATTATATTTTTTTAATTTTATTTTTATTTCAATGGTTTTTGAGATTCAGGTGGTTTTGGTTACATGGATACTTGGATAAGTTCTTCAGTGGTGATTTCTGAAATTTTAGTACACCCATCACCCAAGCAGTGCACATTGTACCCAGTATGTACTCTTTTATTCCTCACCCCTCCTCCCAACCTTCCCCGCCACATCCCCAAAATCCATTATGTCATTCTTATGCCTTTGCCTCCTCATAGCTTAGCTCCCTCTTATATAAAAGCGAAATCATACGATATTTGGTTTTTCATTCCTGGATTACTTCACTTAGAATAATGACTTTCAGCTTCATCCAAGTTACTGCAAAAGACATTATTTTATTTCTTTTTATGGCTGATTAGTATTCCATGATGAATATATACCACATTTTCTTTATCCACTCGTTGGTTGATGGGCACTTAGGTTGGTTCCGTAGTTTTGCAATTGTGAATTGTGCTGCTATAAACATGCGTGTGCATGCATCTTTTTCATATAATAACTTCTTTTCCTTTGGGTAGATACCCAGTAGTGGGATTGCTGGATCAAATGGTAGTTCTACTTTCAGTTCTTGAAGGAATATCCATACTGTTTTCCATAGTGGTTGTACTAATTTATATTCCCAGCAGCAGTGTAAAAGTGTTCCACACACCAAAAGAAATAATCATTAAACAGACAACCCACATTGTGGGAGAAAATATTCACAAACTATGCATCCAACAAAGGATAAATATCCAGAATCTACAAGGAGCTCAACAAATCAACAACAACAAAAAATAATCTCATCAAAAAGTGGGCAAAGGATATGAATAGACAATTCTCAAAAGAAGATATACAAACAGTCAACAGACATATGAAAAAAAATGCTCTGCATCACTAATCATCAGGGAAATGCAAACTAAAACAACAATGAAATACCACCTTACTCCTGCAAGAATGGCCTAACTAAAAAGTCAAAAACCAATAGATGTTGGCATGGATGTGGTGAAAAGGGAACTCTTTCATCATTACATTTCTGAGATACATCCCTGCTATTACATGTAGTTGTAATTTGTTCATTTTAACTACTATGTAGTATTCCATTTTATAAGTATACCATAATTCATGATCTATTCAACTGCTGATGGACACTTGAACTACGGCCAGTTTGGAAGTATCATGAATACTGCTGCTATGAACAACCTTGATCGTGTCGTTTGGTATACATATATGCTCACTTCTTTTGGATTTATGCCCAGAAGCAGAATTGTTGAGTCATAGGATTGACATATGTTCACTTTTAGTATACGTCGCCTGTATTAGTCTGCTCAGGTTTCCAAAACAAAATATCACAGGCCTTAAACCACATAAACTTATTTTCTCACAGTTCTGGAGGCTGGGAAGCCCAAGATCAAAGTGCTGGCCAATTCAGTGTCTGGTGAGGGCTCCCTTCTTGTCTTGAAGATGGCCACCTTCTTGCTGTGTCCTCACATGGGAGAGGCAGATAGCACACAACAATGATCTCTCTGGTGTCTATTCTCATAAGGATGCTAATCCTGTCAGGTCAGGGCTGTATCCCTGTGACCTCACTTAACCTTAACTTAAAGATTTGAAGAATTATCAGCTATCCATGTTGCAAAAAACTGAGAAAGCTCTTTCTGAAAAGAATACTAAGGTGTGACTCATGATAAAGAGAACATGAATTTGACTTAGGTGGACTTTGCCAGTCATTTCAACAGAAGTCAGGAATAGAGATGAAATTACACCTGTAGAGAGACTGCCAGTTTGAACTAAAGGGGAGACAGAGAAAGTGGGATAGAATGAAAGAATGCTGTTCGACTTTGGAGTCCATAGGACCGTAAGGACCATAGAGCTATTTGGCTGTCAATGTGCTCTATTCCTCAAGAAAAGGAAGAATGATGCAGAAGGCATTTTTAGGGATTGTCAGGACTGCCACTCCCACATAAGGCCAGGAGAAGGGCTGGTGCCCTGTCTAGCCTAAGGGCCAGGGCCACCCCACACAGCCATGGTAGTGATGCTGGCACCCCAGTGGGCCTGGAGGGCAGAGCATTGAGCCAAAGAGGGCTATTCTCAAGGCTTAAGAGCTAATGGAATTTGACTTGCAAAGATTTTGAGCTTGCTTGGGACTCATCACTCTTTCCTTCATTCTGATGTCTCCTTCTGGAATGAGAATATCTCTTCTATGCCTTTCCCACAGTTGTGTTTTGGAACCACATGACTGATCTAATTCCACAGGCTCACATTCGAAGAGAAATTTTTCCTTGGGATGAATTGTACTTGGAGTCTCATTTACCTGATGTAGATGATATTTAGTTGAGACTTTCAACTTTAGAGTTGATGCTAGAATGAGTTAAGACCTTTGGGGCTGTTGGGGTGGAATGATGTATTTTGCACGCCTTAAAAACATGCATTTGGGGAAGCCAGGGGCAGATTGTTATGGACTGCATTGTGTCCCTCCTTGAAAATCATATGTTGAAACCCTGACCCTGGTAGTATTTCAAGTGAGGAATTAATTAAGGTCAAGTCAGGTCATAAGGGTGGTGCCCTAATCTGATAGGATTAGTGTCCTTATAAGAGTAGACATCAAAGAGCTTGATCACTAGCTTTCTTTTCTCTCTGCCATGAAAGACACAGTGATACAGCAGCTGTCTGCAAGCCACGAAGTAGTTCCTCAGCAGAAACTAAATTGGCCAGCATCTTGATCTTGGACTTCCCAGCCTCCAGAACTGTGAGAAAATAAATTTGTTATTTATGCCACCTAGTCTGTGGTACTTTGTGACAGCCTGAGCCAACGAATACACTGCCAAACAATTTTCCAAAATTGTTGTACCAATTCTTACTTCTCCCAGCTTTATATTAGAGTTCTAGTTGCTCTACATCCTTGCCAACATTTGGTATTACCCATATTTTTATAGCCATTGCAGTGGGGGTATAGTACTATCACTCTGTGGTTTTAATTTGCAGTTCTCTGATTATTAATGAAGTTGGGCACCTGGGTTTTCAGCATAGAATGTCTTCATGTTATCCTTGAATGTAGACCAAGGTAGCCAGGTCACAAGTAGTTGGTCTTTCCACAAATTCTTGCTCTGCTTTCTGATACTTGTGATCTTATCTGGACCATTGGACAAATGTTGAATGTTTTGTCTGTGTGATGGTAGGTGTTGGCCTGAGCAGAGGCTGCCAGTTCTCTACCAGCTGCAGATGATACAATATGGGACATTATCTGTCATAGTTACAATGTGGATTCTGGAGCCAGATTGCCTGAATCTAAATACCAGCTTTGAACCTTTCTAGTTGTAAAATCTTGGCAAGGTTTTAAAATCTGGGCCTAATTTTTAAATTTGTAAAATGTGGATTAATAATGGTAGATACACCAAAAAGGTTGTTGTGAGGATTTAACACAGGTAAAATATTTAAAACAATACCTGGTATGTAGTAAGTCCTCAATAAATGTTATCTATTAGTATTTCTATAAGGATAGTGTTACCATTATTACTCCACTCTAATCTGGACTCCTGTTCAGTGTAAATACCCTCAAGGTTCTAGCTGCAACCAACCCTGGACTGACTTTCCTTGACCCCATGGTGCCATCTGCCATGGGGGCCTGCCCTGGTCAAAACCTACCCATAGGCCAGGCACAGTGGCCCACACCTGTAATCCCAGCACTTTGGGAGGCTGAGGCAGGCAGATCACCTGAGGTCAGGAGTTAGAGACCAGCCTAGCCAACATGGCAAAACCCTGTCTCCACTAAAAATACAAAAAAATTAGCCAGGCATGGTGGCG